TTAGCTCTTTTGAGCAAAACTCAGCATGTTAGTGTTGGAATACCAACTATCGATGATGAGAGCATTTTCACCAAGCTTCCGTGGCACTGGTCATGTATAAACCACCAGTTCTTTCCACACGAGACAACGAGATCATGGATTTTCTTTCACACCTTGAAAAGACCAATCTGCTAACCCTTTGACTATCGGGTATACGCGCATGTTGGTCTAAGAAGACTAATTACACACATCAATACCAAGGACAAAGGTTCAAATCTTCTGTTTGTTACTTAATGGAGTGCAAAAAGCAGCACATTGAGACCGTTGACTCCTAGTTCCACGGGTGGTCTCTTTCAGAATACTTTGCCCTTGACAAGAATCAATCCATATTCTCCATGAACTATGCTTCACGAGTCTCCAAACATCTGGTGAAGACTAAAGAGGGTAAAACAACCGAGGTAAAAGAGACCAGAGAGTCTGGTCATGCAAAAGCATCCAGCTCGAAGCTGCCTAAGCGGTATGCGAAGGGACCACGTACTATTGTCTCATGCCGTATGAGATGTCTGAAATTCTAGAGAAAGCAAATGATGTGTATGTAATTGTAGACGGTTTTTTTGATATTAAGTATGAAGAGACGGTGTTGGAATTCTGACATTTGAGGATGCACAAAATTTCAAGAAAGTACTTTGGCAATGTGAGTGTACAAAACATGAAAGCCACAAGAAGTTGGGTTTTCTTCCACTTTACCTGCTTGTCAAGCGTTTGATTACGAACAAGTGCACATACTGGTCACGGAAGACGAACAACATGCATAGTTATCAAAGATGTGACTTTACCTTTTTTTTTGGTTACTTTGAAAAAAACAAGATTGATGGTTTAAATATAACACCAGCATTTCTGGAGAATTATGTTCATAAGTTGGATTGTTGTCTAAGTTCTGTGTAGATTGCATGACAAACAGAGTTAGTGACTGAGACAAGTCAAACTTTATCCTCCTCTTACCTTCTGTTTATATATGGTACAAGATGGTCTTAGTATGGTTTACTAAAACGAAAAAGAAAAATTTACCTAGAATAACCTACTTTTTTTAAAAAATAGCTAGAATAACTTTACCATTTTTTTATTGTTGAAATAACCTATTCTGGATTTTTTTCTTTCATAATACCAAAATTGTCTTTGGCAAACTCTGCCGAGGTATTGGCAGACTCTGCCGAAACATTGGTAGATTCTGCCGAACATTAGTAGACCCTGCCAATGTTCGGCAGAGTGTGCCAATATTTTGGCAGAGTCTGCGTATTTCTAGATATTGGCAGAGTCTGCCAATACATCGGTAGAGTCTACCAATGTTTCCGTAGAGTCTGTCAATGATTCGGTAGAGTCTGCCAATATCTCGGCGGAGTCTGCCAATGTTTGACAGAGTCTACCAATGTTCGGCAGAGTCTGCCAATGTTTTGGCAGAATCTGCGTATTTTTAGATATTGGCATAGTCTGCTAATACATCGGTAGAGTCTGCCAATGTTTCGGCAGAGTATGCGAAGGACAATTTTAGTATTATGAAAGAAAAAAAAAATTAGAATAGGTTATTTCAGCAATAAAAAAATAGTAAGGTTATTCTAGCTATTTTTTAAAAAAAAGTAGGTTATTCTAACTAATCTCCCGATGAAAAACTATGACAAAAAAATATATAAATATATATATGTACGGTGACTATGGTCTAAAAGGCATAATATATAATAATTAACAACATATATGAATTAGGAACAAGGGTGGATTCGTATATATAGTGAATGCCTCTGCATCATCTCATCTCAGTTTAATTTCAGTTTTAAATGTTGCTAATTAGACGATTCATCAAATATTTATTATAAAACCAAATAACCAATCAATATATGTACAATGCTTTTACATCAGATAAATGTGATTTTTTCCATCAAGAACACATTTCCTTTTCCATCCACAGTTCACACAAACAGTTACTTGATTTAAATTTGGATTATGTTATGATGGTGACACTGATATAAATGTATAAATTACAAACCACAATCATCT